TGAAAGCAGCCACAGTGTCTGTAAACAGAAAGGGATTTGACTGATGGAGGGTGTTATCGGTGTAGATGAATGAATCAATGAAGGTTAAGAAGCATTGAAGCAGTTGTAGATGATGGATGGAGCGCTGTAGAGAACAGGATGGATGCACAGATGTAAAAAAAAAAAAAAAGCACGTGTGGCAGCAACAGTCCAGGGTGAAAAATGATGGCCATGTGTGCTGCACAAAACCATATCTGGTAGACTCACTGGCATCTCCCTGCTAGCCATAATACCAGCCTGGTCTTATCGTGCAGTCTCATTACGACCAAGTTGGTCTACGCAATATCTAATTTGACTGTCAGATGACTAAAGGAAGACATAAATTAAGCTAATTACCGGTATATGGGAACTGTTTGCTCACAGCAGTAAACACTTTCCATCTGTGTTTGTCACACTGCTGCTCCATGGCTCTGGAAGCAGGAAGAGGAGCTCATGTTTGATGAAGACAGCAGATTGGTGTCAAGTAAAAGAAGCTGCTCAAAGCTAGTTTTTGCTGAGGTTATAGAAAGTCTGCTCCCTGATGCGTACTGCTGATGTACTGTACTACTGCGGATGCTGTTAGATGCTTATAGTGTACAGCTCGAAACCGAACGAGACTTCAGGTATTGCACTAAAGCGATAGTGGACAAGCTGCACTATTGAGATTCAGTTAATGTTACATCACCTCTCTTTGTTTTAATCTTCGTCTGTAGATTCATATTCAGCGTACGGAGGGATGCGATCATATGACCTGTGTGCAGTGCAACACCAACTTCTGTTACCGCTGCGGAGAGCGCTACAGACACCTGAGGTGTGTTGTGCTCCACTTTCTTCACTCTGGCTGCTTCGTCCGCCCATCTCTTCTCTCCGATTTCATCTTTCGCTTCATTTTGCCAGCAGATTTTTTGGGGACCACACATCCAACCTCAGTGTGTTTGGCTGCAAGTATCGCTATCTCCCCGATAAACCTCATCTGAGACGGCTAATTAGAGGCTCTGTCTGTGGTAAGTCGCTGCGTGTAATTGATAAAGAGCTGTTTTCATAGCGTGTTTGCTCTTTTCAGCTATAGTGAGCTTTATGCTAACACAGCTGCATGTCTACAACTAGGAGTGGCCCGTTACGGCAGTTACCGTGTGTTCTGCCACAGATTTAAACAACAGCTGTTTGCTCAAGCCGTGTTGAGAGTGAACTCTGGTCACTGGCTTTTATGTATTTGCATCCTTGTCACACAACAGTAGTGTCAGACTAGGACAATGTCCTCTGCTCGTTACACAAGTGTGTGCAAGACAAGTAACAGACACCTTACACCCAGAAAACTCAGGGGAAGTACTGTATGTGTGCTTGACTGCACCGTGCCCCAATTGTCTACTTTTAAGTAATGTGTTGATGCTTTGGACAGTTGGACAGTGCTTTTGAAATTACAGAGAACCAGTGCATTCCCTGAAAGTTTCAAGAATATTATTGGAAAGGATTTCTTTTCCCTCATATGTACAGCACAAGGTTTCATTTAGCTGTTGTGTCCAAGTTTCAAATGTCAAGCTGTTGAAGTATTTGGAGGTAGTCCTTCTTTATTATCCAATGCACTTTGTGCAGTGTATGGAGTGCCAGTGCAGCTGCTACCACCACCGTGCTTTACTCCTGTTATCATACCTCCTGTAATTGAGGCAAAATAACTCACTCTTTGTTTTGTCTGATCATCAAACTTTTCTCCAGAAGGCACTTGTCCTTGTAGCTGTAAATTTCAGTCGAGTTTGAAAGTGTCGATAGTGAAGCAGGGCCTTATCTTTTGGAAAGCATCCTCTCAGTTCCTGGTGATGTAAAACTTCACTGTGGACAGTTACCTGTTTACGGCAGGGTTGAGCCTTGATGGTTCCTGAACATCCTAACCTATCCCCTCTCATCTGAGGGTGACAGTTTGGGTCTTCAAAGTGGCACAAATGCTTGTACTGAAAGTATAGTTGTTTGACCCAATCTGGAGTTGTTTTTGGCCTCTTGTTAGAAAATGAAGGTGTGTTTTCATCCACAGATAAGTCTCCATTTTGAAACACAGTATGACCGAGATTTACAAAATACGCTTAATTTTTATTTTGATGTGACCTGAAATGAGTGATTGAGCCTGTAAATTCAATCAGGGTTAGTGTTAGGTGCCTTTAAGTTGCAGTCTTGTTAATGGCCAGCAGGGGCCGACTCCTGTGGCTGCACAAAGATCTTTGGTTGTAAAGAAGTGTGTGGACAAACAGCCC